GCATCTCACCCCAGGGCCTTTGCATATATTGTCCCTCCCTGCAATGCTTTTTGACACGCCCCCCACCCTCCAGTCATCCCTCATCATAAGTGCAAATTTTACTCATTTCGGAAATAATAACTGCTAATACCTAAGTCGCCAGGCACTGTGTGCTTTTTGTAGGTTATTTTACTTAATCCTTCCAACACTGTCTGAGACAGGGCCTCTTCATACCTTGCCATCAAGTGGCAAGGTGCTCATTTACACCAGGTAGCCTGGCACCTGTGACACCCCTCAGGGTCACACCACTCAGAACTTCTCTCTCATCAGATTAAGGTGACCTGTTTGGGCGACCACTCGGTTAAAGCCTCCCACCGTGCCTCCGTCCCCAGCTGTGGGCTCCACAGGGCAGGGAGCACTCTGCTTTGTCCCCCACCAGATCCCCTGCACCCAGCATGGGGCTTGGTACACAGTAGGTGCTCAATAGATGCACACTGGACAACCTGGTGGGCAGAGGGCTGTGCCCTCTCAGACACGAAAGTGCCCTTTCCACTGCCCGTCCTGGTTCTTGCCCCTGCCCCTCCCCGCCCCCTGTCCAGGCCAGGGGTTTGGGCAGTTGCCTCACCATCAAACTGGTACTGGATGATGTTGTTGAAGACCTCCAGGAGGAAGAAGACCAGGTGGTGGTTCTGGGCGGCAGAGAAGAGGAACCAGGTCGTGGAGAAGGCCTCCAGCAGGTGGAGCAGCTTGTTGGCAGCCACCATGGACAGGCTCTTGAGGTAGGGGGACACTGTGAGGGAAGGCTCGGCTTACTCCTGGGGTCCTACCGGCATCTCTGCACATCCTGGCCTGGCAGGACAAGATGCTCCCCAAGCCCTCCCTGCACCCTGCCCATGAACTCTCTGAAAAGACAGGAAGACCATACTCCAGAGGTCGAGCCACACTGTCCACGCCTTCTGCAGAGCCCCAGGGAATGGTTTAAGCTCCACCCTCATCTCTCCACCATGTGGACAGCTGTACTGTTTAAAAAACCAGTCACACACGCCATCTGACCTACACTTCTGAGAGGGAGGGGGGACACAGACGAAACCCATTTTACAGATGAGGAAACAGGCTCAGAGAGGTTCATAAACTTGGCCAAAGTTCCCCAGTTATAAAATGACTGGGCAGGGATACAAACTCAGGGTCTTTAGGTCTTTCTAGACTATCAAACTGATATTCTCCATATAATTAAATACATATTTTTTGCACAGCTCATGGGGGGTAATCAGAGGTGAAACGCTGAACATCGGTCTGCGTGCTTCCCTGTCTCATGCCTTTCTCGCTCACTAGGCTGGGGCAGAGACAATGGCTGTCTTGTTCACAAATGCATTTGCGGAGCTGGTCACGCTTAGCCTAGCGCTCCGTTAAAATCTGAGGGACAGAGCCAGCGAGTGAGCGCGTAAGAGAAGGCCCCAGAGCTCAGAGTCCAGCTAGAGGCCTCGAAAGACCGCCCTGCCCCTCCCCAACCACCCTGGTGTCCGAAGCAGACCACAGAGAAGTCAGTCCCTCCCCGCCCCCCCCCGCCCCTCCAGCTAGGACCATAGTCTCCAAAAGGCAGCCGTGCTGCGGTCATCCTGCCCCAGCCCACCACCACCCACCTTGCGGGGCTCAGCTCCCCAGCCCATTTGAGCCCCTTCTCCTCCCAGGCAGCGGGGCGCTTCACAGCACCCAACAGGCGTACTCCCCAAACCCGCACTGGCCGATAGAGTAGCCATGAGCTACATGGGGCCATTAAGCACTTGAGATGTAAATGGTCCTGACTGATATGTGCTTCATGTGTGAAACACACACAGATGAAGACTAGATGCAAAAAAGAATATAAAACATCTCGATAATTTTTTTATATTGGTTACATGCCAAGATGATGGTATTTAGGATATAGCTAATTAAGTAAAATATGTTACAAAATTATTGTTACTTGTTTCATTTTTGTATTTGTTTTGTTTAATGTGGCTACTAGAAAATTGAGTAGCACATAGGTGGCTGCCCTTATCAGACCTGACGGGTTTGAACCAGGGAGCAGGCGGCCGGTCAACCTGTGACCTAGCGCCACCTGGTGGTGAGCGCGGGGAAGGCGGGCTCTGGGCCCCTTACCGTTGACCACGATGGTGAGCAGGCAATCGAAGAGGGGCTGCAGCCGCTGGTGCCCGCTGGTGATGATCTTGTGGAATACCTTGCGGAGAGGCAGAGGGGCAGCCATGGGGTCCCCTCCACCTCCAGACTCAGCCAAGAGGACATCACCTCCATGCTCCCAGATGCCCCCTTACCACGATGAGCAGGTCCGCGTGGGTACCCGTGAAGACGGGGACATCCATGGGCACCCGCACTGAGTAGGGCTTGTTCAGCCGCACCCCGAAGTTCCGCTCCCCGCTCAGAAGCAGCAGGATGAAGACGCCAATGTGCATCAGGCCCACCCGAGCTGCGGCAGGTGGCACAGGAGGGTTACTACGCCAGGTGGGGAGAGGAGGCAGGGCGCCCAGGGCAGGGACCCATATGGAGGGCGGGACTGGAAAATGCCCTTCCTGAGAGTCAGGGCACCAGGCCTGAGCTCCTGGGAGGCGGGACCTGCCCCTCTTCAAGGAACGCCCCCATCCGATGCCCCCATCTGATGCCCCGCCCCCAGCCTTACACTGGTCTGCTCGGGCATCATTGAGGAAGTAGAGGATGGGGACGAGGATGTCCAGCACGTCGCTGCTCTTCAGCACAAAGAAGAGGAATTTCTAGGGGGCGAGGGGGAAGGAACAGGTAGGAGGGATCAGAAGAAGGGCCAGCTCTGCCCACTTTCTCCCCTTCCTGGGATTACCCCCCATCCCCGGGCTACCCAGAGTGGCTGCCCGCCCACCTTGTTGAAGTCACAGAGCTTCCAGAAGAGGACCAGCAGCTCCTGGTGGAACTGGATCTTCTTGGTGGAGTTAGGCAGGTAGGTCTGGAGCAGGGGGTTGGAGAGCAGCCGGGCGATGCCTTTGAGGATGAACTGGAAGTCCTGTGGGGAGAGCGGGTGCCTGTCCGGTCCAGCTCCCTGCAGCTCCCGGTTCTGGGGCCTAATGCCCCACAAATGCCTCCTCAGTGACCCCACCCTGAAAGCCCGAGGGGCCCAGATTCCAACATCATCAATAGCTGTCTTGGGGTGAGCGCCTCAGGGAGGTGCGTCCAGGGCTGGTCTGGAGGGGCCCTTCCCCTCCGCCGAGAGGGGTCACTCACTGAGCACCTGACACGCACTGGGCTGTGCTCTGTTAATCCCCACGGCAAGGCAGGGGAGCAGCTACTGCCCCCATTTTATGGCTGCAGAGGTTAGAGCTTTGGGAATCACAAGGTTACAAGACACACGAACTTGGGTGTCCTTGACCTTTAAGTCCATTGTCATTCCCCTCTCCCGACCTTTGAGAAACTGGACATCAGAGCCTCTTCCTCCTGGAAGCCTCCCCAGTTATCACCCAGTTGAGGCCATCAGCCCTTTTCCGTATCTCAAAACCCTCAGTCTTACTGTCACTAATTTGCCTTCGGTGGCTCACGTCCATGGGGACTATGGTTCCTGTATGTAGGGGTCAGGATTCCTGCAGCCCTGTCTCATGTGCCTCCCCCTCCCCGCTGCAAGGCAGTAACCACTGTGCGCTGGGCAGAGAGGACCCACCAGAGTGAGAGCAGGGCTCGACTCACCTCCTCGCGATGGATGCGGGACAGGTAGTTCACAAACAGGTTCTCGGGCCCTGGAGGCTGCCAAGGGTGGAGCTGGGGTGAGCGGGCGCCCCACCCTCTGCCCCTGCCCCAGGCCCAGGTGGCAGGAACGGCGGCACCGCCTTGACCTCAGAGAGCCCCAGACTCACCTCCAGGTGCCCACTGGGTACCCGGCGCCCAGCTCTGCTAGAGGGGGTGCCACCCACCCAGAGCCTGGCAGGGCCCCTCCTGTCCTTACATCAGCGTCATCCATGGCAGTGCCCGTTGTGGTGCCATCCACGGTGGGGCTGGCGCTGGTCGTGTGGTCATGGTCCAAAGTGACGATGAGCACCTGGACAGCCTCCTCCACCAGGGGTTCCCGGTAGTCAGAGAAGAGCAGGTGGTTGTAGGGGATCCCGTAGCCCACAGGGTCATAGGCACACACGGTGTTGAGGAGGGAGGTGAAGAGAGGCAGGGCGTGTCTGCGGCGGGAAAGGGGTGGCAAGGCTGCAGAGACGCCACCGGGCTGGCCCCCCGTCCACCCTCGCCGCGGGGGACCGTCAGCCGAGCTGCCCCTCCATTCAGCACACGTTTCAGAGCCAGCCCTGGGCTGGGGACCAGGGGGGCAGAACCAGGAGCCTGTGCCTTCCTGAGTAGAGGGACCCCTTCTTGTCCTTGCCTGCATCCGGGACCTGCGCCAGGCTGGGCCGAGGGTGGGAGGAATTCATTACCAAGAGTGGGATGGCTAGTCAGGAGGGGCTCTTTGTAGGAGACCGTGTCCATACCCCTTGGATTCTCCGCACCAGGGGCTGGAGCCCGTTCTTCTTTGATTATTTTTTACAGCAAAATTGAGGAAGGGACTGTACAACCTACGAGCTTGGACGAATATATAATGACATGCCCTTCAGATTTCTGAGGGGCAGCTACTCTCCTTAAAAATTTCAGGGAAGGGGCTGGAGGCCCACAGAGAGGCAGGCTGCCCCTCGGCGGGGCAGAGCACATGCTCGGTCACCCAGTTCCCTGGCCACAGAATGACTCCATTCTGAGATTCGTAAAATGTCAGAGTTCGAGCTCCTCATCTTACAGATGAGGAAACTGAGACCCAGAGAGGTTAGGTGAGTGACAAGGTGTGGCCATTTGCCTGATAAGGCTGCTGAGAAAGAAAACTCTGGCCAGCTTTTGACTGTGGCTGGTGGAGGGAGTCACCTGGGTTCCTTCCTCTTCTGTAAAAAAAAAAAAAAAAAGTTTGGGCTGGAGGCCAGAAAACCCGAAAGCTGAGGCCGGCCATGTGGGTGGGCCTCAGGGTCTGGAAGTAAGAGGGTGTTTTTTAAAAAAAAAAAAAAAAAGTTTGGGCTGAAGGCCAGAAAACCCGAAAGCTGAGGCCGGCCACGTGGGTGGGCCTCAGGGTCTGGAAGTAAGAGGGCGAACCAGGACGCTGAGAGGCACTAACTCTTGTGCTGCCAGCACAGCCCGGGCACAGCTGGAGTGCGTGTACCTGCTCCGAATACTCAATCCCGCCACGTGACACCTCCTTGTACCCATATGAGCTCCCACAGCCCATGAGCGCCCCTATTCAGGCCGGAGTTCCCCATCCTTCATTATGTCCCCTCCCCACCCACTGTCCAAACTGCACTGCCCAGTACAAGCCACATGTAGCTCCTGAGAGCTTAAAAAGCGGCTAGTCTGAATTGAAATGTGCTGTAAGTGTAAACTACACCCTGGTTTTGAAAACTAAGCATGAAGAGGGAATGTGAAACAGCTCCATAATTTTATATGTTCATTACATGTTAAATGCTAATATTTCAGATATATCAGGTTACACTGAACATGTTAAAATTAACTTCACCTGTCTCATTTTTACTTTTTTAATGTCGCTACTAGAAACGTTTAAATTGCCCATGTGGTTCGCATTATACTTCTACTAGATGGAGGATCCAGGCACAAGGACATTGGACAGCGCTGGCATAAGGCGTGACTGTTAAGTTACAAGTCATCACCACCAGGGGGCAGCACCCCCCATCGAATAAAGCCGGTAGGACGGGAGAGTCGCCTCAGCTCTAAGCTGCCTGAAACAAGGAGGAAGACAATGGAAAGCAAGGCCGGGGCGGGGGTCGAGGGGGTGGGGGGCCCTCACCTGTTCTCCGTGGAACAAAAGAACTGCACCCATGGGTTGGTGCTGCCACTGTCCGGAGATGGGGGCAGGTACATGGCCTCGGAGAAGCATGTCAGCAACAGCTTCAGCAGCTCCATCCTTGGGGAGGGGGTTTAATGGAGGGGCTTCAGTACCTGAGGACCCCAATTTAGGGGGGAGGGGTGCAGGCCCATCCTGCCCAGCCCCAGCTCAAGTTCATGAAAAGAAATGACCTCACTTTATCCCTGTGAGGCGGAAGTTGGGTCGGGAGTGGGCAGGGTCTCCTTGCAAGCCCCATGCGTGGTTCCCTCTCTGAGCTGTGCAGGGGCGGGTCTGGGGTCCAGCTACGCCACGGGCTCTGGGCCCGGGAAAGCTCACCGGTTCATGTCGTGGATGTAGTTGGGCTGGGGGGAGTGAGCGAAGCCCACGCCAGCCTCCCAGATGTATTCACAGCTATCTAGGGAGTGGACGTCTTCTGCTGAGTCCTGGGGACAGGGTCAGGGAGAGATCAGGCTGGGGTGGCCAGCCAAGTCCCCCGACATCCCTGGGGACAGAGTCCCTCATATTACCCAAAAGACAGACACTCAAAATGCCCCAGGTGCTAATGCACAACAGAAGAAATAAATGTTCTCAACCCCTTGAAACTCATTTCTTCAGTCTGGTTCTTTTACTTGCTCAGTCCATTTTGAGACAGGGAGAGAGAGATGGGGGTAGGGAGGGGAACAGAATTGGGTGCGTGGACGTGGGGGGCAGAGGACACTCAAGGTCGAATCCATGGGCCCAGGGGAAGTGAAAGAGCCAGGCCTCCTGCGTCCAAGCCCTACCCCACCCACCACCCAGGCAAAGACAATGGGAGCCTGTGCCCAGCCTCCCGGATGCAGGGGGCAGGGCCAGGCACCAGCTGGCTCCTCTCCAGCTGTGCCAGCCACCACCCCTCCCTGGGACCACGCGTGCCAGGCAGCCCAGTTCTTTTAGAGCAGCCCCTGCCCCTACAGCATCCTGTCCAAGGAGCAGAGCCCTCCCTAGCCCAGGGGTGGGGGTCGGGGCGCCCTCACCACAGAGCTCCTCCGGTGGCTCTGGACAGTGAAATCGGGGCAGAAGAGCAAGTCGGCGACGGCCAGGAGCAGGGACTCGGCCAGGGGCCGAGCGTTCTCATCATCATCCTCCCCCTGCTCGGGACACAGCACCCAGGGGCCACCTCAGTGGTAGCTGGCCAAGGAGAGGTAGCCCCAGGACTTGGGGGTGGGAGGACATGGTCTGGGCCCAGGCAGGCCCTGTGGGCAGCGATGAAGTAGCAGGAGAAGGCAAAGGAAGTGGACTCCCAATCACCCCAAACCTCCCAAGACAGAAGGGGACACAGTGGGGAGCCAGCCTGGGAGCAGCGAGGAAACCTCCCACTGACTGGGAGGGGACAGGCCACGTCCCCTAACCTCTGGAGCCTCAGCCCCCTCCCAGGTGCCTAGAGACAAACTCAGGGAGGGTAGGTGG